CTGGCTTTAACTCTCTATTCCTGTTAACCTATTTTAATGTAAACAATCAGATAAGTCACTTCAGAGCACAGGTGAGTGAATGAGTCAGGAATAGTCAGGGGAAAATGTTTAAAACATTAAATTAAGCAGTTGGGGGAAATGTGTAACCTTTATATATCTGAAAGGACACAAAAAGTTTGTTCCAAATGGATGGTTCATCACAAAGTCAGGGGTTGAGTAAATAGAGTAAATAGAGAGTTATAATGAAGGCTAAGTATGACCCTGGTTAACTACCCACACATATCCTATAAATACACCTACGTATGTGCATGAATGGGCCTTTATTAGCTCTCATTTATGTTAATCCAGTAGAGATCTTGTCATTGAACTATGGTTGCTCAGTAGTAATGTTTTGCACCAGAAATACTAAGTGCTTGACTCATGCCTTTGAAGTTGTTTCATAATTCAGAATAAAAATGACCCCAGGAAGGCAATCTCTTCTGCCTTCTAAATGACTTTCTCTTGCTTGACCTTTTATTGTAAAAAATCAACTAACTCTTTGTTGGGATGCTGTGCTAATTACTCAAAGAAGTTTTATGTAACCCTTTCAAATGTGAACCAACCAGAACAATCAGAATTTCCATTAAGCTGTCTACAGAGGGCACATGATCTCAGCAGTATACAACTAATGTGCCTCTATAGCCTAAAGATAATTTGTGGTAGAAAGTTTTTCAACTAAAAATAAATCACAGAGCAGATAGACCAGAATGTGAGAAAGTAAAAGAATCAGAATTGTTAATACAGCTATTATTAGTAGCTTTCTTGGCTTATAAATTAGCCAGGTAATGCAGTTCAGAAATAATGAAGAACCTATTATCTCTTTCATTTTACCATTCACTAGCTTTTTTAATTCGCTACTGTCATATTAATGATGCATCTGATTAGAGCAAGACCAACAGGAGTCATGCTTCAGGGAACATTCAGAATTTTTATAAACATCCTTACTTCCCTGAAAATTCATTCTTTCAGAGTTACTTTCTATTTCCCATCTGTCTTTGATCATGGGACAGCCCCTAGCCAAACATAAGAATTTAAACTTTCATCTGATTGCCCCACAAATAATTTCTCATCTCTTTCTTGTCAAACAAGAGCAATTAACTTTCAAAGCCTCCCTGTGGAAGTTGCCAAAATTCTAAATCTAGGGACAGTGATGGGAAATTTTCAGTACAGTGTTTTGAAGTCTCCTTTACATATCTTAGCAGAGTTCAAGCCTGAAAATGTTCACAATTATATTTGAAGTTCCTCAATCCCATTGGATTTGTCCCAAATAACTGTAAAGCAGAGTTAAGTTATATTTAGTTAGATTTTATCATAAATTTAAGGTGATAAATCATTATTTAAGCATCATTTAAGCACTCAATTCAATTGAAAATAAAAATATTGACCAGACACCATTTGAAGGCACTATAGTAGGGATATAGAAACAGTTCCTGTATCAAAGGACACAAACAACAGAATGAAAAAGCAACATACAGAATGGGGAAAATATGTGCAAATTACATATCTGATAAGGAGTTAATACCCAGAATATACAAAGCACACCTACAACTCAACAACAAAAAAACAACCTGATTGAAAATGGGCAAAAGACTTGAACAGACATTTCTCCAAAGAAGATATCCAAATGGCCAATAAGCACATGGAAAGATGCTCAACATCACTAATCATTAGGGAAATGCTAATCAAAACCACAATGACATACCATCTCATAACCATCCCATTCGAATGGCTATTACAAAACAAAACTCACCCAAAACAGAAAAAAGCAAGTGTTGGTGAAGATGTAGAAAACTGGAATCCTTGTGCACTGCTGATGGGAATATAAAATGGCACAGCTGTTATGGAAAATAGTATGGAGGTTCCTCAAAAAATTAAGAGTAGAATTAACCATATGACCCAGCAATTTCACTTCTGGGTGTACAACCAACTGAAAGCAGGGACTCAAACAGATATTTGTACACCCATATTCATAGCAGTATTATTCACGTAGTCCAAAAGCGGAAGCAACTCAAATGCCTATTGATGGATGACTGGATAAAGAAATGTACAATGGAATATTATACAGCCTTAAAAAGGAAGAAAATTCTGATATGTGCTGTGACATAAACTCTGAAGACATCATGATAAGTGAAATAAGCCAGACACAAAAGGACAAATACTGTCTGATTCTATATATATGTGGTATGTAGAGTAGTCAAATTCAGAGACAGAAAGTAGAATGGTGGTGGCCATGGTTTGCAGGGAGAGAGGAATGAGAAGTTGATGTTTAATGGGTATGAGTTTCAGTTTAAAATAGTAAAAAAAGTTCTGCAGGTGGAGAGTGATGGCTGCACAACAATGTGAATGCATTTAAATGCCACAGAATGGTATGCTTAAAAATGGTTACAATTGTAAATTTTATGTTATGTATCTTTAACCACAAGAAAAAACGATAGTCCCTGCTTACACTGGGCCTATCATATAGTGGGAATGCAGATGTATGTAAATTTAGTACCTGAGTAACTGTAACATAAGGTAAGTGAGAGAGTAGTAAGAGTAGAAGTGAAACACTGTGGTATGTTCACAGAATGCAAAGATAATAGTTGTTTCAGAAAAGATTTTGTAGAGTATCTAGTGGCTGATACCTACCTTTGAAAGATTAATACAATTGTAATGAGGAGAGAAGGTGTGAGCAGGTATCCTATAAAATGAGACCAGTGTGAACAAAGCATGGAAGTGAAATTTGGGGGGTGTGATTTTAGAACCGTGATTCCTCCCAGTTAGGTTAAAATTAGAGCAGTGCTTCTCAAACTTTAATGTGTATACAGATCGCTCAAGAATCCTGCTAAAATATAGATTCTGATTCTGCAGGTCTAATGGTAGAGTCCGAAAGTCTTTAGTTCTTTTTCTTTTTTTTTTTTTTTAAAGATTTTATTTATTTTTTTGACAGAGAGAGACATAGTGAGAGCAGGAACACAAGCAGGGGGAGTGGGAGAGGAGAAGCAGGCTTCCCGCGGAGCAGGGAGCCCGATGCGGGGCTCGATCCCAGGACTCCGGGATCATGACCTGAGCCGAAGGCAGACGCCCAACGACTGAGCCACCCAGGTGCCCCGAAAGTCTTTAGTTCTAATAAGCTCCCAGATGATGCCAATGCTGCTTGGCATGGCTCAGGTCTCCAACATGTATCCCTATGAGTGTAGGTTAGTTAGTTCAAGGTTGAGAACTTTGAAAACCAGAAGTCTACATTTACTTCAGAGTTAACAGAGAACTGATGGAACTCTTCTGAATAGGGACATCATATTATTGTAGCCGATCCTTAGGAAGATTAATCTGGCAGCCACATGTACTGGGAATAGAATGGGAAAAGACAGACACTGCAGAGACTGGTTAGGGATCAACAAAGCCAGTCAAGACGCTACTAGTAATAACCAGGCTGGATGTGGTGAAGCTTGAAACAGGCAAGTGAGAGCGAGTGAGGGTGCAAAGGGGAGACCAAGCGAGGGGAAAGCTCAAAAGCAGACAAGATACATGTCTTGGCAGCTGACCTGTAGGGGAACATAGGAGGAGGAAAAGTTTTTTTTTTTTTAAAGATATTATTCATTTATTTGACAGAGAGAGAAAGAGCACAAGCAGGGGGAAGGGCAGAAAGAGAGGGAGAAGCAGGCTCCCCGCTGAGCAGGGAGCCCGACGCAGGGCTCAGTCCCAGCCCTGGGATCATGACCTGAACCAAAGGCAGACGGTTAACCGACTGAGCCACCCAGGCGCCCCAGGGGGAGGAAAAGTTAAAAAAAAATGCTGGTGATTTGAATAAGCATTCAACCAGGTTTTCCCAAGACTTTCCAAATTTATGACTATTATTAATCCCAGCATAACAATAGTGCCCCTTTCACACTAAAAATTAACAGTGCCTCTTTCCACCCAGTGTAGGTGATAAATAATATGGTTGCCTAAGCTTTAAGCACAGGTGACTACTAGGATATAGAGAAGAGTTAGGCTGGTTTGTAGTGGGTACAGATGAGGTGATATTCATTCATTCATTCATTCATTCATTCAACATCTACCAAATGTCAGCTATATTCCAGGCTTTATTCTAAGTGCTGAGGATATCTAAGATTAAGGAAAAATGACAAGAACCGAAAGGGTTGTCCTAATAGAGTTTATGATCAAGAGGAGACTTACACGTTCCAGAAGTGGGGGTTGAGGAGGAAATGGAAAGGGAGCAAGTTGCCAGGAAGGTGTCATCAAGACTTATTGCTGCGGGCAATATAAAACAGAATCAAGAATGGGGGATTCTAATTCAAAAGGGACGTGGGTGCAGGTTTAGATAGAGATTTGGTCTTTATGGAGGATAAAGCTTTGAGAGTGGGTGAGATGCCTCCTTGATGGTAGAGACCGGGGCAGCGCCTGCACTCAGGCAACACAGGGAGGAGTCAGTGAGCCCATGAAGGAACAGTCAGAGCGGTAAAGGAAGTACCAAGGTACTGCCCTATCATGGGAGCCAGGCAACCAGGGAGGTCATGGGCCCTCCAGGAAGCAATACCAAATGTTGCTGCAAGGTCAAGGAGACAGGTGGCCGCCGTGAACTTTGGGAACAAGGCACCGTGCCATGGGGGGAGGGGGTTGCCCAGTAAGATGCTACGTGGTATTCTGCATACGAGAGAAAGTACTGAGACTCTAAAGGGGTTCAGCTTATTCTTAGATGATAATTTGCTGCCATGACTTATTTCTCGTTGCCACTTGTTTGTTGTTAATAACAACAACCTTTTTGTAGTTGTTATTTCTGAAGATCTGGAACAAAATAAAGCAGAAGCTCTAAACATCTCAGTTTTCATCAATAACCAGTGCATAATTTTTCTCAAAAGATTATTCTGAGAACGGGTTATAAATGGCACCTGTGTGCTTTAAAAATCTAAAGTAGCAAACAAGAACCATCTTCTGGTAAAAACATTTAATTTTACTTTATGTCTTCTTTCTGATATTAGGGGACATTTGGGAAGAAAGATTGAAGCCAGAAGTACATGTGTGAACTTAAGGACACCAGATGAAAAATACTGGGCTTTCTCTGAAAGGTAAAAGCAAAGTTATCTAACCAGAATTGTCAGTACTAAGGCTCTTAGTATGCATATTAATTCCAGTAGTTCTGCATGACAACAGAAAAAAATGTTACATTAGCCTCATGGGGTTACATGAAATCTTAACAGAGGATTCAAATCATTCTCGCTATGACCCTTATGTTAGCCTCCTCCCCTCCCCCCCCAAACCCCACTTACAGAAGATGAGAATGCATCTTATTTGTAATGCATCCTACTTTTGGGGAAGACTCTACAATATCCCTGAATAATCCATATCAGAATTGAAAATCCTAATTTAGAGCAGGAAAGTATATGATTACTTTCCATGATTATCTTGTAATTCTTTTTTTTTTTTTTTCTTCTGGTCCTGAACCCAGGGGGTAGGGCTGGGTGCAGTTTTTCTCCCCAGAACAGGAAATAGAAATCGATTGAATGGGTGAATCAGTAATAACACATCTAAAAACCAAATGAACAAAGTCCTGTTATTAAAACCATTCTCAGTAGCCAATACAATTCTGGTAGGAATGTTTGGTAAATTTCGGTGGCTGAATGACTTTTTTTATAGTGCTGGAATAATGACAGTGCTGGTTACTGTTTGTTGAATGAAGCCCTTGAGCAAAGCTTTATTTTAATGGGGGAAGCCAGTGTCTGGCTGTAAGTCCCTGGGGGTGGGTGACTCCAGACCTTCCTTGGCTACATACTTGTAATTCATGGAGCACATCAGCCAATGGTGTTTGCAGGGAAGTGGACAGTTTAACTTGGGGAATGTGCAGGCCAGGGTGTGACCCAGGCATGTTCCTATGCCTCTACAGGCATGGCATTCCAAAGCCTCTACACTCTAGTGTAGACCACCAGACTCAGCTTCCAGCACCAGCCTGAGCCTCCACTGCTGCCATATGGCGAGCTCATCACCCTAAACATACCAAATGCTTGTCAACTTCTGTCCTTTCTGCTTTACATCTGCCTAAATCTTACCTTCCAAGGCCCACCTGAAACTCTACCTCTTCTATAATATCATTACCCCAACGGTGGTTCTCAGGAATAATTTCATGCTCTGAAAAAACCTGTGTTTATTACTTAAAATGTGCATTTGATATTTAGTATAATACTATGCCCCTTGTCATTTATGTGCACCATCTCCCAGCTGGACTGCAAAACTAGATCTGGTTTTCTTTACAGAGTTCCTATGAGAATCATCTAAGACAATATATATTTTGAAGCACTTTGTAAAATAGTACAAATACAAAGTATGTCCCATAGTATAGTACTTTTTTCCTGACATTTACAGAATTTTTCATAAAAGCTATACAACAATGTTTAAAAGTTGGGAAATAAGATCACTTTATAATCATTTTGGTTGGGCAGATTATAATCATTACACAATGCAAATTATATCCTCATATTCCCTCAGGTAACTCCTTTATTGACACGATCCTCATCTCTGATTTGACATTTAACAGAATTTAGAAGGGTAGAGGATTTCCCCCGTATAGTACAGCACTTAATTTTTCCCTCACTGGGAAGGCTTGGGACAGACACTCTATGTAATTAAAATAAATAGAATAGATGAAGAAATAGATATAAATATAGATTAAGATTAAAGCAATAGCCCCAAAAGTGGACAATATGATCATCCTCTTTTCACAGATGACAAAGCAAAAGACAAAATGGTTCGGGTCACACAGGGGGTAAAGAGCTAGGATTGACACCAAGCATTTTGATCCCAGAGTTCACACATTTTGTCACTTTGCTGTGACATCTTTACATCAGCAGGGGTAGCAGCAAGGAGTAGAGCAAGATTCAATTCCATTTAATTCAAGCACCATTTAGTGGCCATTTACTAAATGCCAGGATCTATGCTAAGTGCTGAGAATGAAAAATGAATATGCTAAGATCCCTGTGCTCAAGGACAATGTTACCATATGACTCACAGAAATACCTAATTTTAATGCATTATAAGTGCAATAATGCATGCAAAGACAGATGAATTGTGCTCCTCGTCAGAGAGATTTTTAATAGTTTGACTTGTTTTATTTGAAGTGTGGAGAGTATCCTTGTCACACATATGCATGCACACTCAAGTTCAAGTTCATGCACTCAACACCGGTATCTCCTTTGTGTGCTGGATGCTGTGTCAGGTAAGATTGTATACAAACTGGAACACTGTCTCTGTCATTCCTGGGGCAAGAAATTCAGCCAGGGGAAGGCAGAAGGCAAGGAAGGGTCCAGAGAAACAGATAAATAAGAATATAATGGTGAAAATGTTTTAACAGAAGAAAGAACAAAGGTCCCAGAGAAGATACTTGAACTTGATTTTGAAGAACAGACTCTTGACAAGCAAAAGTGGGGCCAGGAGCAGAGGGAGGTAACAGGGGGTACCAAGGGCTTTCCAGCAGAGGGGAATGTACAAGGTAGAGCAGGGAAAAGGGAGGTGTGTTCACGGCAAGGGAGAAGTTCAGTGTGGCTAGAGCAGAAAGTGCAAGTGCTGGGGGGCGGGGGGGAAGATGGAAGAAAAAATTGGACTGACTCCAGACAGTGAATGGTCTTATCTGCTCAGCTCAGAACTGTAGATATAATTACAACGGCAATGAAGTGGCAACAGATTCTAGAACCAAAAAATAGTAATGACTTTTTCCTAATTTTAGATCACCTATATGAGTATTATATAGGAAATATTTGGTTCTCAGGATTGTGTATTTCAAGGGGAAAAAAGGATTCTCCAAAAAAAAAAAAAAAGTTTGGGAGTTGCCAAATACTATATTGATTACAGGAGTTTTACAATTTATATTAATATAAAAATATTAAGTACTTTGATCAGTCAGGCAGTAAGGAAGTATGTTTAACTTTGTTTAATCCAGTCCCTGCTAAACTTAATTCATTGAACCTTTTTGATGTGCCTCTCCCACACAACACCTATTAAACACCTCACGGTGGGCCTATGTTCATTCTCAATAAGGGTGTGACCCAGGCATGTCCCTATACATAGGGATTACACATCACTTCCTCAGAAAATCATTCACGAGGAAACACTCATGGAATTTTAGAAATTGTAATTCCTTGATTACATGATATGAAGGATCTCCTTTTAAATTTCTCTCCAATGTATTCGTTACTTTTTTGGAATATAAGAAATTTATTTCTCGACAGGGTTTTACACAATGATACACCATCCAGGAGTTTCCCACAACTGGTCCCTCTACGGGGCCTATGCTTTGAGTTTCTAACATAGAGAGAACAGACGCGTCTATGGCCACAGAGGAGAGCAGTGGTCACATCAAACTCCACAAGCATGCAGATGGTGCCAGCCCCTAGTGCAAATGCACAGACCCAAGGATAGGCCACACTGCAGAATCATAAATGCAGCGTGTCATACCTTATGGACACTAAGTCATATGGATAGAATGTTCCTAGTGGAATTATCTGAAGTTCTGGATTCTCTAGGGTAACTGCAGGTCATGTGCCCTGCATTTTCATTTTTATTTCTTCTGAGGAAGGCAGGTCTCCAGTTAAATGAATCCGGTTATGCAACTTGCACGCTGCTCGCTGGTGTAGCTGGGCTTTCGCAGAGCTGCCTCCTGCCCCTTACTCTTTCTCCTTCGACAGCCTCTCTCCTCACAGGTAACTCCTCCTCAGGCCTCCGCTGAGATGCCACTTCTCCGACCACCCTCCCCAGACTGGGAAGGTCACTGCTGTCAATTCTTGGAATATCCTGTCTTTTCCTACTTAGCACTGACATCAGCTGTAATCTTAAGTGTATCTAAGTGGCTATTTGTTTATCGTTGGTCCTCTCAGTAGACCTTGAGCTCCGGGAGGGCAGGGGCTCTCTTTCTGTTCAGTGTTGTAAAGCAGCATCTAGTACACAAGTGCTAAATAAACATAGATAAAAGAACACCAAACACTCATAATTTAAGAGAATGGAAACGGTGAGACTCTTCATGAATTGGCTACAGCCTAGACCTGATTTCTAGAATTTAGGCTCTTTTTGAAATTATAGAGAAATGCTATTCCATTGATGACTCTTTATTGATATAATAGCTTTCCTTTCCTAATCATAAAAAGGTATTAGTGGGGCGCCTGGGTGGCTCAGTCGGATATGTGTCCTACTCTTGGTTTTGGCCCAGGTCATGATCTTAAGGTGGTGAGACAGAGGCCCACACTCAGCTCCACGCTCAGTGGGGAGTCTGCTGGAGATTCTCTCTCTCTCCCTCTCTCTCTGCCCCTCCCCACCTCACACTCTCTCTCTTTCTCTCTCACATAAATAAATAGATCTTTAAAAAAGTATTAGCTATTAATATTACTATTATATTTGGTGAACAACTTAAAGTTGTCTGTCTTTAATTTTATTTCATGATGTCTAGCTTTTAGGGAGTATTTTCTCTTTATGTGATAGAATTCTTCACATCGGCATTCATACACTTCAAATACTTTTGGCTTCGTGTTTTCTATTCACCACCACTTAAATACACTACACATGGTTTGTTCCTTTGATATGCTCCATAAATCACTCTCCCCTATTACTTTTATTATTCCTGTGGATCTTTCCAAACTTCTTCCAATTTATCAATCCTTTTGTGGCATTGGAGCATTAAACCGAAGATAGTATTCTGCGTGTTTAGTTCCCAACAGATCTGGTCTGGGCTGGGCTGGTGGGTGACAACTAGTTGGATCTTCCAGTATAAGAATGAAAAAAAAAATCCAGGAAATCAAACTTTCAGACTATATTTAGATTCCTTCAAAAGGCACATAATATTTCTCCCACATTTCTATAGGTTGTGCCACAGGAATGCCACAGGGGTGATGTTATGCTTGCTTTGAGGTTGAGTTCCTGTGGAATGCCACACACTGAGAGGACTCTGACAACCACCAGTGGACCCAGCACGCCTGCCATTAGCGCTTCATTTGAAAAACAAAACTGCACATCCTCTTTCTAGTCATCTTCCTCTCCCACTTGCCTGGTACTTTTGTCTTTTGTGAGCTTGTTTTCTTATCAGAGGATT